AGTGGTTGGGTATTCTTGCTTGGGGGAGGTGTCATTTCTTGGGCATCCAAGAAGCAAACTTGTATCACAAGTTCAACGATGGAATCTGGATTTGTCGCGTTGGCTACCGCCGGTAAAGAGGCGGAGTGGTTAAGAAATTTAATTTTTGAGATTCCATTGTGGGGGAAGCCGATTGCACCTATTTCTATCCATTGTGATAGTGTTGCCACTTTGGCTAAGGCGTATAGTCATGTTTATAATAGCAAGTCTAGACCCTTAGGTGTTAGACATAGTATGATTAGAGAACAAATCATGAATGGTGTAATTTCGGTGGAATTTGTAAGATCGCAACATAACTTGGCGGACCACTTGACCAAAAGTTTGGTCTGGGACTTAGTGCACAAGTCTGTTATAGGGATGGGTATAAAGTCCATTTAATCCTTAATGGTGAGACACCTAATTCCCCTCTAATACAACGTTAGAGGCTGAATTCAATGTGGAAAGCTCACATTTAATGGATTGGAACACACAATGAAAATCATCCCAAGATGTGTGTTCGGACCTGTAGTAGGGAGGTTGAATTTATTTCTTAATAATTCCTTCGATAAAGTGTAAGCAGGTACACGAGTAAAGGAATTACCTATATGATCGTAAAGTGTAACCGCACTTCTAAAAGCTTGGGACTTGGCTTTTATACGATCATGAATGGGATTAGGACACACGGCTTTATAATTGTGTCAAGTTTGTATTCTAGTTGAGTATAGAAACTTGTATGTATTCTTGAGGTATTCAAATGGGTTGAAGGGTTCAATCCGTAGGATACCCTGATTCTCGAATATTTTGAATGTGTAAAATACTAAGATGAAAATTCAATCGTATCAACATTTTCATTTATGTACAAGATTTGGTTTGAAAACTTTGCTATGTCATTTCATGAGTTACACTAAAATGGGGGAGGATTGTTGGTGATTTTAGTGTCACCGGCCGTTTTGTGTAATTGGAAATGACATGAGTGCCAATGAGGATTAGAATTGTGTTCTAATACAAGCTAGGAGGTATGAAGTGCACACTTGAATATAAGAATGAGTTCTATTCCAAAGTGTCTAGGGCAGTGGAACTCGAGGTAGAACACTCAGTAGACCAACTCTGTGGTTCTAGACCGAGGTCTAGAGCGGTTGGGCAGTTTCATGCAGTTTTTCCAAAAAACTGTCATAGTTATTCCAAAACATGTTGCAACTGCTTGGGACGTGTAATATGGATATATATCACCATATTTCGTACAGAGAAGCGAGAGTAGAGATATACAACATATCTTGATCACTTTTGGCATTCAACTTAAGATAGCAATCCATATACTCATTAGTTTGGCTCTAGTTCTTATGCCTAAGTTCTAGAGTGTCCTTAAGGATTATCCAAGATTGACTTTCTTGTAACCCAGGCATAGGGGAGAAATATCAATTTAGAAAGTGAACTTACTCGATCCTTAAGCAATCCAAGTACTCAATTATTACCCCCTACGTGATTTACCCCAACAATCGAATTGATATTTTCTTTGTGATAATCATGAGTATCGTGGAAGAGATGACATCCAAGTTCAACAAATTGGACAAGTTTCAAGGGAACGATTTCCGTAGATGGCAAAAGAAGATGCACTTCCTCCTAACCACTTTGAAGGTTGTGTACGTGTTGAGCACTCCGATGCCGGAAGTGATGGAGGACGAAACCTTGGAACAAACTAGGAGGCGTAACAAGTGGGAGCACGATGACTACATATGTAGAGGTTACATTCTTAACAGTATGTCCGATGCATTATTTGATATTTACCAAAACATTGAGAGTGCGAAGGAATTGTGGAATACTCTTGAGTCAAAATACATCGCCCAGGATGCTTCTAGTAAGAAGTTCTTGGTGAGTGATTTTAATAATTATAAAATGGTTGACTCAAGGCCGGTTATGGAACAATACAATGAACTCCTTCGTGTTCTTGGTCAATTTAAACTCCACAAGATAGGTGTTGATGAGTCCTATGCCCAGTCAAGTATAATTGACAAACTTCCACCATCTTGGAAGGATTTTAAACGTTCTTTAAAACATCAAGATGAGGAACTGTCATTGGTTCAACTATCACTTGCGCATTGAGGAGAATCTTCGTGTGCAAGAGAATGACCAAATTATGAGTGAAGTTGAATCTAGACTGACTCATGTTCACTTGGTTGAGGATAATAAATCTAACCCGAAAGATAAGGGGAAAGGCAAAAAACGCAAGTATGAAGACCATGACAAACCAAACAAGAAACCGAAAGGTTTGGTTTGTTGGAGGTGTCAAAAGGTTGGACATGTCAAGCGTGATTGCCGTGTGAAACTGAACAAGAATGGCGCTGGAACGAGTGGCAATGGACAGGAACGGTCTAAAGATCTGGTTCCACGGAAAGGAGGTCATTTCCTGATTAACATTGATAATTCTGTCCAGAATTATGTATCACTCATTCCATAATCTTTTTATGTACAGGATGATGACTGTGCATGGTGGATTGACTCGGGGGCTACGAGCCATGGGGAAAACAATTATGTTCTAGGTTTTCAAACCATCCTTTATCCTTACACACATGGCTTGTAGCCTCCCCGAGTCTATCCACCATGCACATCATCCTGTACATAAAAATATTCTGGAATGAGTGATACATAATTCTGGACAAAATTATCAAAGTTAGTCAGGAACTGACCTCCTTTCCGTGGAACCAGGTCCTTAGACCGTTCCTGTCCACTGTCACTCGTTCGATCGCCATTCTTGTTCAGTTTCACAAGGCAATCACGCTTGACATGTCCAACCTTTTGACACCTCTAACAAACCAAACCTTTCGGTTTCTTGTTGGGTTTGTCATGGTCTTCATACTTGCGCTTTTTTCCTTTCCCCTTATCTTTCGGGTTAGATTTATTATCCTCAACCAAGTGAACATGAGCCAGTCTAGATTCAACTTCACCCATAATTTGGTCATTCTCTTGCACACGAAGATTCCCCTCAATGCGCAAGTGACTCCCAAGTTGAACCAATGACAGTTCCTCATCTTGATGTTTTAAAGAACGTTTAAAATCCTTCCAAGATGGTAGAAGTTTGTCAATTATACTCGACACGGCATAGGACTCATCAACACCTATCTTGTGGAGTTTAAATTGACCAAGAACACGAAGGAGTTCATTGTATTGTTTCATAACCGACCTTGAGTCAACCATTTTATAATTATTAAAATCACTCACCAAGAACTTCTTACTAGAAACATCCTCGGCGATGTATTTTGACTCAAGAGAATTCCACAATTCCTTCGCTCTCAACATTTTGGTAAATATCAAATAACACATCGAACATACCGTTAAGAATGTGACCTTTACATATGTAGTCATCGTTCTCCCACTTGTTACGCCTCCTAATTTGTTCCGATGTTTCGTCCTCCATCACTTCCGGCATCAAAGTGATCAACACGTACATAACCTTCAAAGTGGTGAGGAGGAAGTGCATCTTCCTTTGCCATCTACGGAAATCGTTCCCTTGAAACTTGTCCAATTTGTTGAACTTGGATGTCATCTCTTCCACAGTACAAATGATTATCATAAAGAAAATATCAATTCGATTGTTGGGGTAAATTACGTAGGGGGTGATAATCGAGTACTTGGATTTATTGATGGACTCGGGCCGGGCCTAGGCCCGGTCGGGCCGCCGGGTTGTATGACATGGGCCCGGGACCGGCCCGAGGGTTGGACGGGTCCGGTTCGGGCCAGGCCACCCGCCCGGGTCACGGGTCGGGTCCGGTTCGGGCCGGGCCGATTAATTTTTTTATTTATTATAATTTATATTTTATAGTTTATAGTTTTATACGAGTATTAAAAACAAACTTCAATTGCATTTATTTGAAATGAAATAGGAATTACATTTGAAAATTAAAACAAACTTTAAGAGAAACATTTTGAAAATTGTAATCAATCGGAACTTCCCGCACCTCTCGATCCTTTGGCTTTGTCACATGACTTCATATGCTTGATTGCCATCCCGAATCCGCCTGAAACCCCCATGCTACATTTTTTCTCACACCATTTGCAAATTGCGTACCACATCCCGGTATTCGGGTCCTTCTGCTTATCAAAATTATACCGTATAATGGCATCTTGATTTTCCATCTTAACTTCTTAAGTATAAACTATAAAGTAGATATATAAATAATAAATATAATATATTGGAGAATAAGAGAATTAGAGAGTTAAGAATAGGATTTAGGAAGAATTGGAGAAGAGATATGAAATAATGTTTAAATTTTTAAATCTAAACCGGACCCGGGCCCAAGAACCAAAAAAAAAAATTTTTAAAATCTTAAGACCGGACCCGGGCCCGAGCCCGACCCGGCCGGGCCGGGTCACATTAATCCATCACCGAGCCCGCCCCGCCCATTCCCACCGGTTCGGGTCCATACCCGGTCCCGAACCGCCCGACCGGGCCAGTCCCGGGCCCGCACAGTTCTGGGCCGGGCCGGGTCACGAGCCGGGTGGCCCGAACCGAATCCACCCCTACATCGATTGCTTAAGGATCATGTAACTTCACTTTCTGAATTGATATTTCTCCCCTATGTCTGGGTTATAAGAAATTCAATATAGGATAATCCTTACACTTTAGAACTTAGGCACAAGAACTAGAGCCAAACTAGTGAGTATATGAATTACTATCTTAAATTGAATGTCAAAAGTGATCAAGATATGTTGTATATCTATACTCTAGCTTCTCTGTACGAAATATGCTGATATATATCCATATTACACGTCCCAGGTAGTTGCAACATGTTTTGGAATAACTGTTACAGTTTTTGAAAAAATTGCACGAAACTACTGCACGAAACTACCGAACCGCTCTAGACCTCGATCTAAAACCACAGAGTTGGTCTACTGAGTGTTCTACATCGAATTCTACCGCCGTAGACACTTATTTTTACTCGACTTTCCTACTCGGATGTAGTAGGGAGGCTGAATTTATTTTCTGACTAAATTTCATTCAATCGTACACAACGGGTCGGTAAACCTCTTTCAAAAACTCATGATTTTGTGATGAATTTTGAAAATATACTCATGCTTTTCTTATGAATTTGAAAATATCCCTTAGTTTTTACAAGCTACTTAGCTACGGAGTATATTCTTTTGACGTATATTGTTGTGAACCAAATGTTTCTCGTACAAAGATAGTGTCAAAATTATGTTGTACATGAAGGGGTAAAATGGTTTACATAATTATATTATACGAGTATATATTATACGAGTACGTGAATAAATTAAATGACTCATTTTTCGAGATTTAAAAACCAAAGCGTCCCTGAATTTTTACAACCCCATGACACGTTTTTACATCTCATCACATAAAGCAACTCACATGCACGCATCATGTTTTTACATCTCATCACATAAAGCAACTCACATGTTACATAACCGATTAACCGTCCCATTTTACACTATTACGCCGCCCTTCTCAACATATCAGGTGCCCTCCTCTCAAGAAGAACACCAAGGGGTGGTCTCTCGACTTCTCATATAGGCTGCTTATATGCTGCATCTAGACGTCAGTCAGTTCCGCACAAACAATTCCAGCACCATGTACAACTGTTCGCCTGCCAACCTCATGCGCAAGTCACCTACAGAAACTCTCATTAACTGCTACAGACACCTCACTCAGGATGCATCAAAACAGTTGACAATTGACACCTTGAGTATGACCTCAACTACACCAAGTAAAAACAAAAAAGTCTTATGTACAGTTAGTTACCAGACAAATGAAAACGCTAACTGGATAACTTACAAATACAAATATGGCAAGCACCCGAAAGAATTATTCAACCAATGTATCTGTTAACTGGAAAGTTTGTCCACAACAGACGCAAACCTTACTGTTAAGGTCCATTTTATCTGCTAGACACAAAGATCAAACATCTGGAAACAAACTACTTCTACAAGCAACAAACCACCCACCAGCCAGACAAAACCAAAAACACATCTTCAGTATGACCTGTAATAACAACCCAAAATATAAGAGGATGGTTATCGTCGAATAACTGACCAAGTCCCGTCCAGAAATCAAATAGGAAATAACCACACAAAGCTTCATGCCTTGCATCGAACCAATCAAGTCTGTGGTCATGACAGAGCAACCCCAAGCTTGGTGAAACCCAGAATTTGGAACTGCATTGACAAACATATGAATAAAAATATAATGGTATTGGGTGTGACATATCTGTTACTGTGGGTCATATGTATGCTTGTGTGTGTTAAGAGGTAGACAAGATGAATTGGTGGTATACATAAATATATGCATGTACATGAGTTATGTAAGCAGGAGGCGAGGTCAAGATGCACTGAACTGAAATTCCTGTTGACAGTTCTTTGTGTTTAGTGCAATTCTAATGCAGTAAGACAATAATAAGCTTTAAATAAAGTGTCTCTCAACTAGACTTTTCAGAAGCCAATAACAATATTAATAATAATAATTATAATAATGGAAACAGCAAACCTCAGGTGTTCATGTTTTTCAGATACAATTAAACTTACGCAAACATTTCCTTGTTAGGGTCATGAATGTAAGGCATTAAAGAACAGTGCAAGCAATGCAGGTGAAATGAAGTGATTTTCTGTGTTCATCAGTAGTATCCAAAAAAAATGCAGATTAGGCTGAATTCACCATACCAACTACAAGTCAATTCTTATGCAGTAAGACAATAAGCTCTAAATAAAGTCTGTCTCCCAACTAGACTTTTCAGAAGCCAATAACAATATTAATAATAAAAATTATAATAACGAAAACATACGCAAACATTTCCTCGTTACGGTCACGTAGACTGTCACAGATGCACCAATAGGGGAAGAAAAAGAGTATAACATAGAAACAATATGAATGTAAGATATTAAAGAACAGTGCAAGCTTTAAGTGAAATGTGAAGTGATTTTCTGTGTTCATCCGGAGTATCCAAAAAAATTGCAGATTAGGCTGAAATTCACCATACCAACTAGAAGTCACAGCTCAGACATGAAGAATGGCCGAATCTGCATCTCCTTTGCAAGGGCTGATATCCTCAAAAGGTTAAGGTTTCTTAGATCAAGGATAGCACAACAAAGCACCCACAAATCCCAAATATCGCAGCAGCAGAGCACATCCTTGATTCAAAATTTATCAAATGAAGACAGATCAAGGATATAATGAATAAATGAAATCAAGAGCCTCCAACAAATAATGCCTAAGAGTCACAAAAAGTCGATCATTTTAGCTCTCACTGCTTATTAGTGAGACACCAAAAATCAAAAGACTGAACCAATTATCTTCAGCAATCGAACAGGATTATGGATGGATACCAGGGTGGTGACTATGATACGAACCAACGTGCATCAAATTTATCCTTCCCATGAACAGGATTCTGAATGAATTTCCAAGATGAGATTACTATGATATGAACCAAAATGCATCAAATTAATCCTTCCCATTGAACCAACAGCAATGCATTCCTATGGTGACCTACAGCAAGATGCATCAACTACTTCCTAGTGAGAAACCAAGTCTAAGATCTAACAACCAAGGAGCAACCCCAAGCTTAGTGAAACCCAGAATTTGAAACTGCATTGACAAACATATGAATAATGAAATAAAGGTATTGGGTGTGAAATGCCTGCTACTGTGGGTCAAATGTATGCTCGCATGTGTGAAGAAGGTAGACAAGATGAATTGGCGGTATATATAAATATATGCATGTGCATGGGTTATGCATGTGCATGGGTTATGCATGTGCAGACAGCAGACGGACTAAGCTGTGACCATAATTATAATTTTTTGAACTGAAAAAGGACTCGTTTCTCATTGAGCCACACCGTTCCGAAACAACACTTGGTAACAAATTCTTCAATGGAACGAATGGATTGGAGACTTGGACAAGCAGTCAATTATGTTCCTCGATGACATGCACAAACTGTCATAAAAAAATCAGTGCCGCATGGAATACAAAGAACATGTTCCATTTAAATTCATCAATAAAATTATTGGTACCATAAAAAATTTACTTGGATATAAACTGCCATAAGATGTACTATCTAGTTCACCCAGACAGGTCAAAATTTGTTGCTGATGTAGGATCCCATCATCACAGTCAACCAACCGAGACCAAATATCACATCCCCAACCTCATTTACATGTCACGAGAGAAATCATCCATGAACTCTATGAAATTGAGACCAAAAGTATGAAGATAATCAAAGCATACCATTTCATGCAACAATCTATTATTTTATTTGCAATTGAGATCAAGACCTCAAACAATTGATTCAGATAAACCTATATTCACATAGTTAGCCGGAGCATGGAGCAATTTGTCAATCAGACCAGGTGGCAAGACAGGGATTCATCAATCAAACCAGTGATATTCGCATACTGACTTACTGAGATCAAACCCCTCATACACATTCAGATGAAGTCCAGCTGGCAAGACACATCTTAACACAACAATGGGTAAATAGAGCATCATTACAACTAGATGAGTCCAATATCATGCAAGCAGGATATGTCAGGTCATAGCATGAAAGTGAACAGATTTGTGAAACCACAGATAGCAGCTTCCCATTTCATCACGACCAAATACTACATAACCTAACAGTGACTGATGTATAGTTTGACCATTTTCACACATTCAACAATGAGAGCCTGAAGCTGAAGCCTGGGAAAGTAGGAGGCAGTAAGGCCTAACTTTAAACTATGTACCTTAGTTTGAGCAATCACAAATGATCACTATATACTAATCATGCCAAAAACCACAAATGGAATAACACACGTACAAGTAATGGTAGACATGATGTCATGTTGAGACACAGCTTTCTTAGAGAGCTATTGTTTGCTTGACTAATGTCTGAAGGGGTTGGTGACCCACATAGGACACACTACTTGACCGACATGGCTCCATACCCAAGGAATTGGTATGAGGGATTTCCATTGAAAAGTCTATTCTGGATGGCTCAACATGGAGAAGATATCTTGAATTCTCAATCTAAAACCAAAATCTAAAGGAGAGCGAACACAAAAGGTTGAACCAGTGATCTTCCCAAACTAACATCAAACCCTTCCCAATCTCGGACACAAACTGGCAACGCTTACCGTAAGACGGCAATAGGGTAAACCAAACGTCACTTCAACTAGATAAGACCAAAATCATGCAAACAAGGCATCTCAGATTATAGCATGAAGAAGAGGAGACAGCAAAGCTAAACGTGAAAGTGTGAAACTGTACCTTAGTTTGAGCAATAATAACTTGCACCATATATTGATTTTGCAAAAATCACCAAGTGGAATGACAAGTAATAGTAATAGTAATGGTGAATGCGCTGTAAAAACTTCTTCAGTTTGGATTCATCTGATAGAAAGTGAATATTGATGCACCTTTCTAAAGAATAAGTAGCACATAGCCAGTTTCGTTAATGTGGATTCCAGACTTATTATCCCAATGGCATAAGAAACGTGTTAAAAGAGGTTAACTCAGGGAAGGGAGCTAAGCACAAAGAGCAGCGCCAAAGGAGAGCTTATACAGCAAGACAGAACTTCTTTGCATCTTAATCAAGACAACATAACTTCCCAAGTTCAAATACTAAAAATATAAACGAAGAATTACCAAATCCAGTTCATGTCTCCAATAATGAAAAATATCAAAAGTATGCAACCTACAAGACAGAGAGAGTTGAGCATAGCGAAAATTAGTCTAAACTAGTATGAGCCGTGGATCAAAGAAGTAAACTGTAGAAGTATATATAAATGATGGATTGAGAGGCATTAAGAAGTGAATGTAGTAGAACCCACATGTGGCGATTCTCAGATTTAGCTTGCCCTAGTGATTAGAATTTAGAATGTCCCGTAACATGCTGATCTGCCCATAAAAAAGAATGAAGCCACATGGACTACAAAAAACATACCCCAATCAAATATCATCTTACATATTATTGATGCCACTAGAGTTTATTTGGAGATAAACTGAGATGCAATGTAGTGGTGTACTATCTTGTTTACCCCATCAGATAAAGAAACTTACTAATGCAGGAGCCCCTCATCTTGTTTGATCAACTAAGACTAGACCATATCTTCAACCAAATTTACATCAGAAGTGAGAGTGAAACCAAAGGTCCATCCTGAGGAACCAAACAAGATGCACTCTTCGCAATCGAGATAAAAAAATCATACAACTTCGACCAAAGGTCAAGGCTCCCAAATTTCAAGAAGATAACCAAAGCATATGAAATCCATTGACAAACCAGGTTAAAATGTTCAAAAAGATGAATCCGATCATTTTTATTTGCACCTGAGACCAACTCCATATTACATCTTCCAACCCAGATGTACAGAACTTGGAAATAATGACCTAACTCACAAAGATAACCAGACCACGAGCAATTTGTCACTCTTCTCAAGCTAAGATCAATCAGTGATACATTCTCAAGCCAAAGCAAACACAACTTGGGAAAAGATATGTTGAAGATATAACCAAGACAGATAGAGATTCATCTAGACAAAAGAGGTTTCATAAGTCAAACTAGAGATCCTCCCAAACTGAAAAGTCATAACACATAATCGCATGAAGTGAATAATTTTGAAACTCTGAAGAAGAGACGTGGGAGAGAAGACATATTAAGGCCTCACTTCAAACTGTGTACGCTGCTTGAGCAATCATAACTTCATAACTGATCACAATGGAATAACAAGTACATCGATTTCCGGTGAGCAAGTAAATAAGTGCAGGTCTTACTTAATACAGTGTCGGTTTCATGATTGTGTATTGCGCAAATTTACTTCTCCAAATGGCATACAGAAATGTGATAGGAGGGTAACTAAGGAAGAGAGCTAAACACAGAAAGCAGTGCGGAATACGAGCAACCTTATACAACAAGATGGAACTTTTTGGCATCTATACAAAAGAGGAGATAACATTCAAGGTCTAAGTACTAAAAAGCCGAGCACAAAAACATGAATCAAATACTTAAAAGATGAACTTGAGAGCCAATAAAAAGTGAATACAACAGATCCACGTGAGATGGTTCTATACTTCTAGCACCCGGTTGAGGTCTTAACTAGTTAGAAAAATGTGCCATTACATGCATAATCTGTAATCTGTAACGCCAATACATGCATAAAAGCATTGACACCAAGAATGACTACAAAAAATAAATAGTTCCATCTCAGTTCATCAAAACTAATATTGATGCTGTGGCAATGAACTTGGAGATAAGATTGTCATAGGATGAACTGCCAAATCGTAATCAAGGATAAAGCATCATCACCTAGTTTTGCAAATTGATGATAACTAGGTAAATCCAAGTATCAGTGATATTAAATATAATTAAATAAAATATTATACTCCCTCCGTCCCAATTTGTTTTGCAAATTTTGGTTGTCCCAAAATAACTTTCCACTTTCCATTTTAGATATGTAAATAAAAGTAAGTGACAAATTTACCCTTACTTTTACTTTTTCCTATCAATCTAAAGGCATCTACTTTTAGGATGAAGGGCAAAAGTGTAAAAAGCAAACACCATTTGTTGTCATTCCTTAATCCTTGTGCCGGTCAAAGTTTGCAACTCAATTCGAGACGGAGGGAGTATATAATTATATATATAATTATATTCATATGATTATATGTATAATTATAATTATGTGTATAATTATATATATATATATAATAAATTAGAAAGAAGAGGATAAAGTTGTAATCTAGGTAATGAGTTATTTACCTAGATTACAAAAACATAGGGAATATGTGAATCAAACCAGGAGATGATGTTCAGGACAAATCCAGTAATTTATTGACCCATGATCAAGGGCAATTTGCCAATCAAACAGAGTGATGACATTCGAGACGAATCCAGTAGTCTTCTCATGCTGAGATCAACCCCTAATACATTTTCAAGCCAAGGCAAACACAAGTTGTGAAGAGATATCTTGAACACTCGATCTAAAACCAAAATCTAAAGGAGATACCGAGATAGCAAACACAAAGAGAGTGGAACCAGTGATAATCCCAAACTGAGATCAACCCCCTTCCAAGCTGATATCAAACCCCTGATACATTTTCAATTCAAGGCAGACACAGACTGGCAACACTTATCGTAAGACAGGAAGGTATATATAAATGATGGGCTAAGAGGCAATAAGTAGTGAATATAGTAGAACCCGCATGAGGCAATAAGAAGTGAATATAGTGAATATAGTACAACCAGCATGTGGTTGTTCTCAGATTTAGTTAGGCCTAGTGATTAGAATGTTCCATAACATGCTAATCTGCACATAAAAAAGAACGAAGCCACAAGGACTACAAAAAACATATATCCCAATCAAAAATCGTCTTAAATACTATTGATAATGTACTTCGAGATAAACTGACACAGGATATAGTGATGTACTATCTTGTCCACCCTATCAGATCAAAAAACTTGTTGATGTAGGAGCCGCTCATCTTATTTGACCAACTAAAACTGGACCACCCTGAGGAACCACACAAGATGAACTTTTTTCAATTGAGTTCAAATAAATCATACAACTTCAAGCCAACAACACATAAACACTAGTTGGAAAGTGAAAACTAAAATTTTAGATGGGTCAAGGCTCCCAAATTTCAAGAACATCACGAAAGCATATGGAATCCATCAATAAAAGTTAAGATGATTAAAAAGATAAATCCAATAATTTTTATTTGCACCTGGAGTCAACTCCATGATATGACTTCCAGCCAAGATGTACACAAGTTGCAAGTTGGAAATAACAACCTAAACTCACAAAGATAGCCAGACCACGGGCAATTGTCAATGTTCTCAGGCTGAAAGACATGGAAAACGATAACTTGACGATAACCAAGTGAAAGAGAGATTCATCAATCAAACAGATAGCCAAGACAAAGGACTCATCAATCAAACCAGTGATGTTCCCAAACTGAGAAGTCATAACTCATAATAGCATGAAGTGAGTACTTTGTAACCCTGAAGCTGAAACATGGGAGAGGGGACAGTACGGTGTAACCTCAAACTATGTACATTGACTTGAGCAATCATAAGTGATCACTGTATATTTATCTTGCCAAAAATCATTGGTGGAAAAACAAGTACAACTCATGATACACACCTACAGACGCCTTCAAAAGCTTCCTCAAGGGTTTGGAGATTGTAAGGAGTCTTGAATTCCAATGTGAATGAAAGTGAACAAATGCGCACCTTTCTTAATACAGAGTGTCGGTTTCGTAATTGTGGATTGCACAGATTAAATTCTCCTATGGCATTCAGAAATGTGGTAGGAGGGTAACTAGGAAGAAAGTTAAACACAGTGAGCACTGAGCAGTGTCTACTAGAATAAAAGCTACAAAGGCTGCAAAAAAGACAGCAGTAACACTGCTGGAAAGGACAGTTTCTATATTTCCCATACATAATCCCTTGTATAGCCGTTGAGGTGGACGGGCACTAAGATGGAATAACCCCCGCTAAAATGCACAGTGTTCCTGCTGCAATATGATGAGAGGCTATTCCTCCTGGAACACATCTCCAAGAAAGCATAAAGTAAAACGCGTAAGCACATATAAAAGATGAACTTGAGAGCCAATAAAAAGTGAATATACCAGACCCGCATGTGACAGTTCTAACAACCACTTGGGTCTTGACTAGTGGTTAGAATGTGCCATGACATGCATGATCTGTCATTAAAAGCATTGACACCAAGAAGACAACAAAAAATAAATAGTTTCATCTCAGTGCATCTAAAATATTATTGATGCTTTGATAATGAACTTGGAGATAAGACTATCATAGGATGAACTCCCCCAAATCATAAACAAGTATTTATTATCACCTAGTAAGACCAAAGCTATAGTAGATTTATAATCCCATCGTCTAGTTCGACAAACTGAAGCTGGAAATCCAATTCTGCCTAATCTACATCAAATGTCAAGAGATGTCCATGATTCTTCTTCAGCAACTAAACAAAACAAATGGAAGCAATTGCTCAACAGTAAACAGGACATCGCTGAATTTTTAATTTAACCAGCAAAATTTCTTCTTCGCAATTCAGATCAAATATGCGTACAACTGCAAGCCAAACACACCAACGGAAAGTAACCTCGTATACATGAGCTCATCAATGAACAACTTGATGGCATGATACAAGAAAAATTTAATATTTTTCATTACATTTGAGATAAACTCTAAGATACCTTTTAAATGAAGACTTCGAGCAATCAAACTAGGTAAGTCCAAGTATCACGAGAAGAGCAAAAACATAGGGAATATGCAAATCAAACCATGAGATGATGTTCAAGACAAATCCTGTAATTTATTGTCAGACCTATGATCAAGGGCAATTTGCTAATCAAACAGGGTGATGACATTCGCGACGAATTCGAGACGAATCCAGTAGTCTTCTCATGCAGAGATCAAACCCTGATACATTTTTCAAGCCAAGGCAAACACAAGTTGGGAAGAGATATATTGAATACTCAATCTAAAACCAAAATCTAAATGAGACAGCAAACACAAAGAGTGGAACCAATGGTCTTCACAGACTGAGATCAAACCCTTCCATGCTGATATCGAACCCCTGATACATTTTCAATTCAAGGCAGACACGGACTGGCTACACTTACCGTGAGACAGGAATAGGGTAAACCAAACATCACTTCAACTAGATGAGATCAAAATCAGGCAAGAGAAAGTCTGAGATTAAAGCATGAAGGAGAGATGGCAAAGCCAAACTTGAAACTATGTACCTAAGGTTGAGCAATAATAACTGATCACTATATAATGAGTACAAGTAATGGTAAATGCGCTGTCAAAAATTCTTAAGTTCGGATTTGTCTGAATGGAAGTGAAAACTGGCACACCTTTGTTGAGATGAATAGCACAAAGCCAGTTTCTTGAATGCAGATTGCAGACTTACCTATCCTAATGGTATAAGAAACGTGTTGAAGGATGTTAACTCAGGGATGGAATCTAAGCAAAAAGAACAGCGCCAAAAGAGCTCAGACAGCAAGATGGAACTTCTTTGCATCGAATCAAGACAACATAAATTCCCAGGTTCAAGAACTAAAAATACAAAGAGAATTAACCAATCCTGTTCATGCCTCTAATAATGAAAAATAACCAAACTTCGCAACCTACAAGAAAAAGAGAATTGAGCATAGCACAAATTAGTCTCAATTAGTATGACACGTGGATAAAAAATTGTATAAGTATATATATAAATAATGTACTGAGAGGCAATAAGAAGTGAAACTAGTTGAACCCGTCTGTGGTGGTTGTCAGATTTAACTTGGCCTAGTAATTAGAATGTTCCATGACATGCAAATCTGCCCATAAAAAGAATGAAGCCCCAAGGACTACAAAAAACGTATCCCAGTCAAAAATCATCTTAAATATTATTGATAATTTGCTTGGAGATAAAGTGACACAGGATATAGTGATGTACTAACTATCTTGTTCACCCTATCAGATCAAAAAACTCGTTCTTGTAGGAGCCCCTCATCTCATTTGACCAGCTAAGCTAAGACTGGACCATCCTGAGGAACCACACAAAATTAACTCTTTGCAATTGAATTCAAATAAATCATACAACTTCAAGCCAACAACACAGAAACACTAGTTCGAAAGTGGAAACTAAGATTATATGAGGTCAAGGCTCCAAAATTTCAAGAACATAACAGAAACATATGGAATCCATCAATAAAATCAGGTTAAGATGTTTAAAAAGAAACATAGTTTTTATTTAGACCTGAAATGAACTCCATAATATGTCTTCCAGCCCAGATGTACACAAGTTGGAAATAACGACCAAAACTCACAAAATTGCCAGTCCACGAGCAATTTGTCAATGCTCTCAACCTGATATCAATCCATGAGATAAAAAGCAAACACAACTTGGAAAAAGATATCTTGAACTAGTAATCTTCCAAAACTGAGAAGTCATAACTCATAATAGCATGAAGTGAATAGTTTTGTAACCCTGAAGCTGAGACATGGGAGAGGAGACAGCAAGGCCTAACTTCAAACTATGTACGTTGACTTGAGCAATCATAACTGATCACTGTATATTGATCTTGCCAAATATCACTAGTGGAATAACAATGTTACACAACTACAAACGCCTTTGAAAGCTTCCTCACGAGTTTGAAGTTAAAGCAGGTCTTGAATTCCGATGCCAATAAAAGTGAAGAAAGGCACACCTATATTAAAACAGAGTCGGTTTCATTATTGTGGATTGCACAGATTTACTTCTATGGCATACAGAAATGCAGTGGGAGGATAACTAAGGAAGAAAGCTAAACACAAAGAGATGTCTGTTATATGGGCAACCTTACACAACAAAATGGAACTTTTTGGCATCTAATCAAAAGAGGAGATACCATTCAAGATCTAAGTACCAAACACAAAAACTAACCAGTCAAGTTCAAATCTCCTAATAGGCAAAGAAGTAAAAGGCCATATAGAAACCCGGATGTGATGATTCTAACACCCTCTTGGGGTCTTGATTAGTGGTTAGAATATTACATGGCATGCATAATCTGTCATTAAAAACACCGACACAAAGAAGACCACAAAAAATAATTAGTCTCATAGAGATAAGACTACCATAGGATGAACTGCCAAATCATAATCAAGTAATCATTATCACCTAGTAAGACCATAAGTTATAGTTGATGTATGATCCCATCGTCTCGTTCGACAAACTTAAAGCTGAAAATCAAATGCTCCCTGATCTACATCAATTTGTCAAGAGAGATGACCACGATTCATCTTCAGCAACTAATTAAGGTAGATAGAAGCAATTCCCAAACAGTAAACATGACATAGCTGAGCTTCATAACTGTGTACAAATTCAAGCCACACCACAAAGGGAAGGTAACCAAGGATACGGGACCTCATTAGTGAACAAAATGATGGCATCCAACCAAACAATCCAATAATTTTTAAGTTGACGTGAGATCAGGTCCATGTATCACGGAAAGAACTTGAGCAATCAAACTAGGTAGATCCAAGTATCACAAGTAGAGCAAAAACATGGGGAATATGTCAATCAAACCGGGAGATGATTTTCAAGAAAAATCCAGTAGTTTCTTGTCAGGCATATGATCAAGTCCCTGATACATTTTCAAGCCAGGGCAAACAAATACTCCATCTAAAATAAAAACTTCAAGAAGATATGTGATGCATAGAGGGAATCATTAATCAAAGCAGAGGTCTTCAGAACAAATATTGAAACCCTAATACATTTTCAGGCCAATGAAGATACAAGTTGGAAGCAGCAAACTTAAGATGCGACAAAAACACCAGTATCATTCAACCTGATGAATCCAAAACCTTGAAAGCTTGAAGACTTGTTTGCATCTTAATCAAGACAACATAACTTTACAGATATCAAGTACTAAAGAGCCAAGCACAATACTAATAAAACCAGTTGATGTCTCTACCATGGGTAAAAATCCAAAATACAAGCAACCTAAGAGTAGGGTTGACCACAGCTAATAAATGTAGTAAATTTAGAATAAACCGTAGTAGTAATCACTTAGGGAGGTTCTCGGAATTAGCTTGAGTCTTGGCAAAGAAGAGTTCTGCTATATATGGCAAGACTTCTTGATGCCAATAAAACTACAAAAAGTACATAATTTCAATTAAAATCACCTACATATTATTGATGCCATTAAATTAAATATATATAAATATAAATATATATATATATATATATATATACACATATATGATAAATGTCAGAAGGACAAACTGTAAAGTAGTAATCGAGTAATGATTGTCGCTGAGACCAAAATTTGTTATTGATGAACCCTCTCATCTCATTCAACCAACTGAGACCAAACATCAAATCCCAAATATTATCATCTACATCACAAGTCGAGATAGTGAAACCCATGATGCATCTTCAACACCCAAACAAGATACAGGATCCCCTCAAATTGTTCTACCATGTACTCATAAATTTAAAATCTGAGATTGAGTGAAGGATCCAAACCGTATCACGAGCATAAAAACCAAACTGTCAGAGAGGCAACCATCAACTATAGCGTATACTAAGTGCCAAGTGATACATAAACTGGAACCAAAATAAGGGCACTGTAATACAAATACAAATAAGGTATTAAAATGTTAAAAACAATTGGGATAATATGCGTACCATATATAAATGGACAATGTGCATATTACGAGCAGAAAATTTGTAAGGTTGGGCTAAAGATCATATGGGGTACCAAAAAACAATTTTAAAAATTCAAAAACATAAAAATGAGGATGTTTGACTTAAAAGTTAAAACGAATGTTTGTTAAATGTCGTGATAATATGGTATACTGACTCAAAGAAACTGTGAATTTTCATGTGGTTAATTAATATTATAAAATTAAACATAACTTCCCCAAAATTTAAAGACTTGAAGTTTTGGGCCCTCGGTCCATGACTGATTCGCAAAGACATGATTATGAAATATGCAATATATTACTGCAAATGTGTTCTTATTATTTTGTAAGAAAGACAAAAAATGGACATATCTGCATCTCTCATTGCAACGAACGCCAAATCAACAGATGAATCTCGTTGACGTGCTTAACCAACTGATCTAAGCTTAGATCAAATGATCAAACAATCAAGGTCAGAAGAAAAACGAAAACGCCAGGGAAACTCAACCACTAACATGTACCAATCAAGCCCAAAATTGCAAAAACTAGAATAATTTAGGCATGTAGCTTAATTTGTTACCATATATCGAACCTAATGATCTCCTTCGATCAGGACTGATCCTGTAATTTCAGCTAATAACGAGCGCGTGATCCGAACTGAGTCATAACCGCAAGAGTAGATAGATATAGCAACAGATCAAAATAAGCATCAAAATTTAAACAAAAAACGACCACATGTGAGGGCATGTACACACAAATCCAAGACTTCGCACTTCCTCAGATGAAATCCAATCCCTGATTCGAGCTACATCATCCAGTAAAGAAATCAAACCAATAAATTGCCTAAAAACGCTCGATCATTATAAAGGCGCATCTTCAAAAATCCAGACCAGGGCGAACGGAAAACGAAGCGGATTAAATTAGAAATCAAACCGGTCTGTTACGTCCAGCGATTCGATCCGTCAAATACGCATATGATGAAAAACCAACGAAGGTGCGGGCCGACCTACATGAATACGTCGAGGGACGATAAAATCAATAATGCGAAACCAGAAGGTTCGGGAAACAATGGATCAAAACACCAAAAAGAGAGCCAGAAAAACAGGTGGAATCAATCAAACATTCACAGCCAAACCGATGGACGAGAACAAGAGGATCAAGCGATACAGATGAGACGGTATGCTTTCGCGGAAAGATTGGGGTATTTATAGGGCTGAGAGGCGGTTGCGATGAAGCGTAGTCGGTTAACGTGTTTCTGGAAAAGTCGATTCTCGCGAGTGGCGTACATTATTCCACGCGCACTACGGTCAACAACTGTTGACAGATTCAACATTGTTTTTTAGGGGACGGCTTATTAATGGTAATAGCAAAAAAAAGGCACGCCACATGGGCGAGCGTGTCCGAGTAATGTATGGAGTAATAAGAATGATGTAGTTGAATTATTTAAATCTAAATTAATAATGATGTAATGATTTGAACTAATCAAGTTAGTGGTAGGTACGGTACCCCATTTTTTAAATGGGTACCGGAGTTGTCACCTTTTTAAGTAGTGATGGAAAATTGAAATGGAGAGATGGCAGAATAACGAGTTTGAGAAAGATAATCCGGAATTGATTCTAAGGAAATGGTCAAGGCACACATCACAATTGATTCTATGATGAGCGTCGGCCTCAGAATCATCACTCTTTCAAGGCTGCGAACATATCAGGATAAGAACCCATGATAAAGGAATATATTACAGTGTATATAAAAATCAGGAGGATTGAGTGTGAGAAGATCGTGAAGTGAGACATCTATTTATACAAAAATATTTAGCAAGTGGCAAGATATTTTAAAAACAAGTGGGTACTTATTAGATGTGATAGGACATAGCAAGTGGCTACTAATTACACGTGCAATGAACAACCAAGTTGGTACTTATTAGATGTGATAGGATAAGGCGAGTGGTGGTTTATTCAAACTTTTTAATAAAAACAATTAATGAAATACACTGGATTTAAATAACAAAAAGAAAACTGAAAGACCACACCATCCATGCCCTAGTAAAATCTAGGAAAGTAGTCATCCCCAGACGCGGAAGTGGCGACATCGGTACTCGGGGCATCTTGATCATAGCCCAAAATTGCATTTTGTTGTTCTTTTAGCCACTTTTGCTTCCTCGGTGAGTACTGACTTAGGTCCATGGTTACGACATCTATATGTCTCAGTCTTGTAGTCGCATCAGCATTCTCCTTCACCGCCTCATACCTCTCCTCTCTTCTCTTTTCCATTTGCTCCCCTTGCTTCAAAGTGAGAGTAGTATCATATTGTTGATACCACTTCGGAGATGCTTGAAGTATATGCCAAACATGGTCAAACTTAAAGGCCTTGTTATGATTGTCATTTACAAATATTGTTTTTGCGGCAAATGTCTACAAACACACATTTATGTATTAGATACCACTTCAGACATCGATATAAAACACTTATCATATATTTTTGCAACATGTATATGTAACATGTAAATATACAAATTAGAACGTACTATAATGTAAAAAATATATCTATAATATTTACGTACTAATAGATATTATTAGATATGTAATATACCTATAATATTTACGTACTAATAGATACATACTAGATACTTAATGTAATATTTTTTATATTACGTACTAGATACTTAATGTAATATTTTTTATATTATTATATCTATAATATAAAAAATATATCTATAATATTTACGTACTAATAGATATTCATGTAATACATAAAATGTTGTAATAATATTAGGGAGGAAATAATTTAAAATATCACATCGATTAGATTCGATCCACTTCTCTGGGTTGCATTTACCTTTCGCAAACTCCCCTTCGATAACGAACACTGATGATTGATAACTTTGAACCGTGATTCAACAGCCTCCCGAGTTCGAACTGTCGTATTTGCTTTTTGACAGAACAACATGTGAACTCGGGACCAGAATGAATCGCCCGCTTGATTGATTCCGACTGCACCATCTTCAGAAATAGACACCCAAGAGTTACACAAGAATACATCTTCATTGTAACTCCAATTAGAACCCCTCTTTTGTGAAGACATGTTATCAAGTAGTATTACAAATTGCTAAAAAATCAAATATAAAGTAGAGGAAGAATGATGATTGAGGTGTATTGAAATGAAGATATGAGTAGTGTTTATATAGAAATCTCAGTCCAATGTTTAATAAAAAATTATCAAAAAAGAAAATAAATTATTTTATCAGTTACATCTAATTTTAAACCGTTGGATGTACCTAATTTTTTTATGTGTATCAATCAGATCTGGCCGTCCAATATACCTACCTCCATTTATTTTAAATAAATCCCATTTGTTTTAAAGATGTCCCCTGCTGCAAAAGATAATGCGGAATTGAGTGGAGCCACTTCTCTGGAGCTAATTCCACTCGCAAGAGGCAAGCCAAACTCCACGCACAAAACTCCACCATTCCTTTTTCTCTGCGCATGTCAGCTCCACTTTCCTTAGTCAGTTCCGTACGAGAGGACTTTTGGGGTGACCTCACATTTGGGGTTTTCACCCCTCCCCATTGCAATCAGTCTAAGGAAGCTCAAGTACTTGCTTGTAATCGTAGCTTGTTTTAGAAAGTGTTTTAATAGACCTCATTGCAAAACATGTTGACGTGACCGTTTTAAATATTTGGTCCGGTCTGACTGAGTCTTTTTGGTTTGGTCGGAATGTTTTTAATCTGGTATAGTAAGAATCTCTCTTATGTGGTCTGATCTCAATGTTAGCAGTCTTGTCTAATTTTCTATTCTGAAATATAACATAAAGTCTGGTTTAGCGCGATCTGAAACTTTATGATCTACTATGATTAAAATAAAAATAAGTAAAAACCAAAAACATAATGCAAAGAGAACATCAGTTTAGTAAACACTTGATGGAAAAACATTCACAGTATGCATACGACATTTAAGAAACCAGAGCAGCAGAAGTCATTTAAGAATGTAAAGCGAAGAGAACATCACTTAAGTAAACACTTCATGGAAAGCCGTTCACAGTATGCATACATTATTTATGAAACCAGAACAGCATACATCAATCGAATATGTATAAGACACATAATGGCTACATTATTTCAGCGGTATGCTCAATGAGACATGAATTCTAATCACAACATCTTAGTATAGCGACAACTGGTGTTCATGGTTTACGGGCTTAAGTGAAATGTGTTACACCACAGTTTTAAGCATTTCTGGAAAATCGCTGAAATTCCTTTTGGGATTTTTTTGCAAACACTTTGGAAGCAAGATAATCAGAAAGGATTAGCTAACAAACAAGATTATATGAAAAAAGCTCCTTATATGAAGGTTTTAAACTTCCTTGCAGGTTTAAAACCCATTCACTCTAGTTCAATGATTAACTACTACAATTTAACACAGCAGGTTGTATATTATGGAGGACCATAACACCATTTTTATTTTTTTCCTTATTTCTTCATTTTAGCTCCAATAGTGTGGCTGGTTGCAATTAAATAGTAGGGTAAAGACGGGTTTCAGTTGGGTCGATTTCTGAATCTAAAATATGGGAAAATAAAAGGACAACAAACACATGTGAGGAACAATCTAGCATAGTACGCGCCATGCCCGAGGAAATGTGTCCAATCTAAATAAAATGACTTTAATAAAGGACTTAAAAAATCTTAAAGTTTTAATGATCCTCTTGCTAATTGGCTGTCTAAAAACAATTAAGTTCATAAGAAAATAATTAGTGCTAGCTAACCTAAACATGTTAGTTAGAGCTTCATTTCATACATGATGAATATGGAATATATGAAATAAGCTATAATTTGTTTATTGAGAAACATGAATTTTATTTCCAGGGACAAAATAATAACATATGACAAAAAATGATGCAACTACACAAGGTACCTTGAAATAGATAAGAACAAATTAATCCTCTAAAGTTTCAATGTTCAAGGTGTCAACTGCATGACATATTGAAACAAAAATACAGAATCATCATCTCGCAGTGACATATCACATTGATACAATTCAATTTAATTCAATCCATTACTAAAAGCATAGATAACATCTTACGCTCTCTTTGAAGCATGGGAACTATAGGTAAAGACAATACGGATGAAAATATAGAAGATATTTGGAAGTAAAGAAACTATGTGGGCTTGGGAGAGAACTATACAAAGACCAAAAGATTTACACATTTGTAAGTAAATTAAAATATTAATCATATATTACAACTTTCTTTGTATTTTTTTGGTAAAATCATACGCATGTATATAGATTTTCAAAGCATTTTTCCTGATTTCCAGAAATGCCCTTCTTACTCGGTAACCATATAGTGCTTTGTACTGATACTATTTCCAATAAAAGTTTATATTATTTAGGGAAATAGAGTAAATTGATGATATTTTTTGCCCAATTAGTAAATAGGACTTTATTTAGGGACGTTCCAAAATAGAAATCAAGAAGATCAAATAGGGACAGAGGAGGAATATTTCAAGAGCATGCATCATTACAAGCGTGATTTTTATACATTTATACATACTCAAACTGCCACATTAATAAAAAATTTACCATATTAATAAAAAAAAGCCTATGGTGTCAAAAACAGAATTCATAAAAAGGCAGAACAAAATCAAGTTGTTATAAATTGTAAAGATTGACCTAGGTTTTGAACATGCTATGCATCTTTAACCACCATTTTATTGGTGTGCAATCCATATATGTTGTATTTTGAAGTAGTACTGGACTTCTTAATAATTATTACCATCACAGTAATCCCCCAGGCCACAACTGGTTCTATTTGGTGCTATGACATATATAGTACCAATCAGTTGTTCAAACAAAGTTGAGAGGGTAAATTCATGCAAAAAAACATAGTGACAAAGAAATGTGTTACACCACAGGTTTAAGCATATCTGGAAAATCGCTGAAATTCCTTTTGGGATTTTTTCAAACACTTTGGAAGCAAGATAATCAGAAAGGATGAGCTAACAAACAAGATTATATGAAAAACACTCCTTATATGAAGGTTTTAAACTTCCTTGCAGGTTTTAAACTTCCTTATATGGCTGGTTGCAAGAACATAGTAGGGCAAAGATGGGTTTCAGTTGGGTCGGCTTCTGAATCTAAAATATGGGAAAATAAAAGGACAACAAACACATGTGAGGAACAAATGAACGGGAATCTGTACAAATGATATGAAACGAAATAAAAGCACTTCCCTCCCTGAAGACTTCGAACAAACGACATTGAGTAGATGAATAAAAACTAAGGAAAAGACAAGTTGACAAGAGAAAAAGCACAGGAGCAGAGTATATAATACAGTTCAGCAGACATTAATGGTGATTTTCAGAACATTCAAAGCAAAATTAAAATTCACCTACCAGCGAGCGAGCGGCCAAAGGAGAGAAATTGAGTGTGACTTTTAGTATACAATCCTCCATAATTTAAGCAGAAGTAGGGATGTGCTGAGTACAATGAGTGCGCTGACAAACTGGAACAACGCCCAAGGCGCCGGATAGATAAGGAAAATATCTCCAACAGTGCCACCGACAAGAGAACTGAAATGTTTTTTGATTAAAAACGGGGAAACGAAATAGGAGACGGGCGTGAGGAATAGGGGAGACGGAAGTCTGTTTAACGGAAAACAGACTGAAAAATTGGAGCGCCATTCATGTGACCCTTTATATATGTAGGAGATACCTCATACTTATCATATTTTATACCCCATATAAAGCCTACTTTTTATAATCCCTTTTATCCTTTTTCAAAAATATCTTTCTCTCACATCTCCCACATCCTCTATCCACTCTTCTTGTTTCCGCCAAAACACATCCCAACCTTTGAAGTGTTACAGTGCTCACAGGAGGTCTCACTTGCTTCTTTACATCATCTTCTTGGATGGATATCATGGGGAAGGATGTATCCGACTTTAGTGATGAGTTTTTTTTGGATGGGTTGACATGAGGAGATGAAGGTGAGAAGGTTGATAAGGTGGGTGACGGTGGTAATTCGCCATCTCCGGTTGCTGTTGAAGTAGAAGCGACTTTAAGGGAAGAAGATGATGAAGATGTTGAAGTCTTGGAGAAGAGTATGTTTTTTTCCGTCGTTTTTGTATTTTGTTTGGCGGACATACAATTTGGAACTGCAGTGTCTGTCTAGTCTAAAGTAAACACGGTGTCATAGTTGTTTGAAGTGAGAGTGGTTTTATAGTTGTTAAAGTCTTTATATAAATGTGTGTGCTTTTTTGGAAACATGGTTGTATTGATAATGTGAAGACAAATGTGGTGAATGAATTGCATATGTGAAGACATATGTATATATATTATTGTTTGTTTGTAGAGACAAAATGATAAATGTACGTTGAAGTGAACATGTATTTTTTAAAAAATAACAGATGAAGAGGAAGAATAGATTTGTATTGAAGGCCTCGTTGTTGGTATGGAGTTCCCCAGTAAAGATGCAGTGTATGATTTCTACAAGGAGTACGGGAGAAGAGTAGGGTTTCCTGTTAGAATAAGGAATTCTAGGAAAGATGCGGATGGAATGACATTTGCAATTGCATTAGAGTGCGGGCGCGCTGAATAAAGACAAAGTCGTGCACAAAATGTTTTGAAGCCTCTTACCTTCAGTGCAAGTTGGTTGCTTGGCCAAAATAAGAGCACGTATAAATTATGCTGAAGGATGTGTGATTTCAACGGCTTGTTTAGATCATAACCATCCTATGAGTCCTACGAAGTCTAGACTATTTCGGTGTAATAGGAGGTTGACACAGAAAGCTATGAGGAAAAATGCAATCAATGATGTACTCAAGACCTATAATAGCTTTATTACTCTTGTTCTTGTATTAATCACTATTCCGACGTACCGTTCGGGAAGTTTCCTGTGTAATCAGCGAATCATTTAAATATAAGTGGGCTTTGAGCTTATTATTATTCAGCTTTTATATTTTGTTATACCCTCGATTTATTACCCACATCCTGAAATATCCAAAACGTGTGTTGTGCTTTCGGATCTACGGGACTTAACCTCAACATTGGCACCGTCTGTGGGAACTTGAACAAAAAGTTTCAAAACCAACCAATTATCCAAACAACAACCTATTACCAAAATGGTCAAAATCACCTCTCATCATACTGGTGGAAGTTCTGGGAGACGCGGGGACAACAGGACCCCCAAGGGCAATCTAGTCGGAGGTCGTACCAACATTTTGATGGGGATTTCTTCATCCCCGAAGCACTGAGGAGGAACCCCCACGCCATGCGGGGTCTAGCTCAGGTCATGCAGCACTTGGCGGATGAGCAAGATGGGGGGCGATCCAGTTATACTGAGGAAACCAGGTACACGACCCCATCCCCACTCCGATCGATGCAATCATTCAATGAACTTTTGGCCTCCACTGGAGATTCATCACGTCTTCTCCCCTGAATATCCAGAGCAACGGGCGCTGGTAGCAACCTTCAAGTCCTACCTGAAACTGTGAGGTGGCCTCCCCCGTGAAGGGGAGGTCAGTACTTGGAAGCATTTGACAAGTACAATGACAACTATACTAAGTATAACCAACGTTTTAATTTCCAAGACCCTCAAAATAGGGTGATATCATAATATAAATCATAATTTATATTTCCCACTTATTATCCTTATAATAAGTAAATTCATTTAGTTGTCGGCACACGGCCCTTCTTATGTATTCCTTTTCATTTATCATTTGCACAACCCAACCCTTGGGTCTTATATTTCTACGGGACTTGCTACCGCTGTCCGAGACCTCATGAGGCCCTTGGTTCGGACTCCAACATCCCGCCCCTGGACTCATACCCATCATCCCGTAGGAAGGTAAGGCCCTTCGGGGTCCTATCTTATGTGTTACCGCTACCGGAACCTAGTTAGGTCTCCGATTCGGATTCCACCCTAACCCGTGATCACGATGCAAGTCCATGCTATCCAACCCCGCTCTCTAGAGTCGGGAAGGGCCATGGTCCTTACTTATTTCCATAATTCAACCGGCTATCCACAAGGACTACCGAACACACCCGTAGGCCAATCCTATACCTAGGATCAATTTATTACTTACTTTATCTTGGGTATCCCTTAAGGCCTACCCCTAGTATAACTTAGAGTTCATTCTTTCCTACCTTAAAACATCTCTTAAGACTACTTAAGGCATAACATTTCACAATCCAACCTTAGGATCAATCTTAACAACATTTCATTTTAATGTTCAACTAGTATCTTAATACTAGGCAAATTAATACCAACAAACCAAGTTCTCAACTCATAGTCATATAGACAATTCCAACTGATTTTCCTTTGAAAATGTCATTTATCTCAATATTCAAAATATCACTTTTAATCACTCATATATTCTAATATGAAGAAAAAGTATATTTCAACATATGTTTCATAATTAATTCCACTTTCAAGTCAACATATTCATAACACATGATCATACACCATTTAGCCAATACCAGCTGCCTCAATTCTATCCCCATTCCGATGGTTTTCTATGCTCAGGTACTGGCGTCCACATGGTGGGATGGAACAAAGGGGAAGTACGGCGAGGCCGTCACTTGGGAGAATTTCCGACAGGAGTTCTTTAGCCAATACTACTCCGACTTTGAGGTGAACTTGAAGAGGAGGGAGTACACGAATTTGACCCAAGGAGGTGAATGTACGGTGAAGGAACTTGAGCACAAATTTAGGAAGCTTGCTGAGTTCATACCGGAGTACATTTGTGATGAAAACCGGATGGTGAACCATTTCTGGGATGCCTTGGACCTTGACATACGCGAGAGGGCAACACAATTGCCTAATATGACGTTTAGTCAAGTGGTAGAACAAGGCTTGAAGGGGGAGAAAGAGTGGGAGGAAAGGAAACGAAGGAATGCCGAGGAGGCAAAGAAGAGAAAATGGGAGAACCATGGCCCTCAAGGTTCTAACAAGAAGGGGAACCACGGGGGAGGCGGATATTTCAAAACCCCTGCACCACCGGTAAGGGGAAATCAAGGCCCGAGCGGGCAAAGCTCTGTGTCACAAGGCTCAGGCATGAAGAAGTGCAACAATTGCAAGAAGAACCACTTTGGCAAGTGCCGCGATCCCCCGAGGTGTTATCAATGCGGGGAGGTCGGGCATTTGAAGGTGAGTTGCCCACAACTTGGGCGAGCCATGGGGGCCGGACCAAGTAGTGGAACGACGGTGAGCAGGAATCGAACCGGAGCAACAAATGCGAGCGGTGGGCACGGTGGGGCGAGTGCAAGCAACGCGCCATCCGTAAATCAAGGAAGGACCCAAGCTCGGGTCTATGCTATGACGGAGGCAGATGCTCGTGCCAACCCAGACTCTGTTGTGGGTAATTCCTTAAACTCACGTATTAATCTATTATAAACAATAGGAGTGTTGAACTTGTAAATTTATAACCCCAACGAGTTTGGTCGGGTGTGGGGAGAAAAAGGGGAGGAGAATCCTCACCCTGGGCGAATGCTGCCCGGCATTGACGAAAGCCGCCCGGCTTTCGTCTTGATTTATTGGAAAAAATACCACATCAACGAATGCCGGTTGGCTTCCACCGAGAACCGCCCGACTTTCGTAAATATTAAATCAGAATTTTCCTCGCAGGTGAAAACCGGCCGGCTTTCATAGAAACCGGCCGGCAAGTGTAACATATTATCCTGAATAAACTGCGGCGCCAAAAGCCGCCCGGCTTTGGTGAAAGCCGCTCGGCTTTCTTTGGGCCTGGGGATTCCTGCACTGCTGAAACCCGGCCGAGTTTCGTAGAAACTGACCGGCTTTGAAACCTATTTTTACGAATAAAATGACGGCGACGAAAACCGGCCGGCTTTCGTGAAAGACGCCCGGCTTTCGTGATTTAATTATGGGAATTTTTCTCGCAAACGAAACCCGGTCGACTTTCGTAGAAACCGGCCGGCTTACATAACGCCAAGCTCAGAAGTGAGCGAAAAGCGGCCGGCTTTCACGAAAAGCGGCCGGCTTTCCCCTGTAAATGCACAAGGTCGGTTTTCGAGGGTGAGAACCGAGCGGGTTGTGATGGGACGTTGAACGACTACCATCTGAACCGTAGTTGGTACATTCTTTAACCAAAGAAGCAAGTCTATACTTGGTAGTGTGTCTTACATCGCTTATGAATGTAGGAACACTAAAGATAAACGGGAGAGATGCAAGAATCCTTATTGATACCGAGGTCCGAGGCGCAACGATCATTTGTGAGTGAGGCGTTTGCCGGGGGATTCAATAAACCGCTTGTACCAATGACTCAAATCCTGTTGGTGTCCACACCTCTAGGGGATGATATCGAAAGAAATAGCCACTATCCATCGTGTGAGGTGGAAGTGGAGGGCCAACCCTTGACATGTGATTTCGTACCGCTGAGTATGATCGAGTTCGATGCGATCCTAGGAATGGATTGGCTCGAGAAACATCATGCTAGGGTCGATTGCTACACGAAGGTTCTTGAACTCGAAAGCGGTGAAGGGTCGACTTTACGCATTGAGGGAGATAGAGGCAAATCAAACAGTTGTATCATATCCGCCGTGAGAGCGAGGAATATGATGAGAAAGGGATGTCACGCATATCTAGCATACGTGGTGGATAAAACCAAAGAAGAGGTAGACATCGACGATGTGAGAGTAGTGTGCAAGTATCCGGATGTCTTCCCAAAAGACTTGCCGGGACTTCCACCCGATAGGGAGATTGAGTTCGTGATCGAGGTTGAACCCGACACCAAACCAATCTCTATACCGCCATACAGAATGGCACCTGCAGAACTTAACGAGTTGAAGACCCAATTGCAAGAGCTTTTGGACAACGGTTTTATAAGGCCGAGCCACTCCCCATGGGGAGCACCGGTCCTTTTCGTGAAAAAGAAGGATGGGACACTTCGAATGTGCATTGACTACCGTTAACTGAACAAGGTCACGATCAAGAATAGGTATCCTTTACCTAGGATTGATGACTTGTTTGATCAGCTCCGAGGAGCAACGGTGTTTTCGAAGATCGACTTGAGGTCGGGGTACCATCAACTGAAGATAAAGGAGGATGACATACCGAAGAGTGCTTTTCGCACGAGGTATGGTCATTTCGAGTTCCTAGTCATGTCGTTTGGGCTAACAAACGCCCCAGCGACATTTATGGACTTGATGAACCGGGTATTTCATAAATACTTGGACCGGTTTGTGATTGTGTTCATAGATGATATCTTGATTTACTCAAAAAGTGAAGAAGAGCATGAGGAGCACTTGATACTTGTTCTTGAGACACTCCGGGAGAAGCAACTCTATGCCAAGTTTTCCAAATGTGAATTTTGGCTAAGGGAGATTGGCTTTCTCGGGCATGTGGTTTCGGGATCAGGGATTGCCTTAGATAACAAGAATATTGAGGCCATTACTGAATGGGAGAGGCCAAGGAACGTCAAGGAAATTCGTAGCTTCCTTGGATTGGCAGGGTACTACCGAAAATTCGTGGAGAAGTTCTCAGTTTTGGAATCGCCATTGACGAAGCTCACTCGAAAAGGGGCCAAGTTTGTATGGGATGACCGATGTGAGAAGGGATTCCTTGAACTGAAGAAGAGATTGACCGAGGCACCGGTACTCGCATTACCCAAACAGGGTATGGGGTACGATGTCTACAGCGACGCGAGCATCCAAGGGCTTGGATGTGTCTTGATGCGGAATGGGAGGGTGATTGCCTTTGCTTCACGACAGTTGAAGAAGCATGAGGTAAATTATCCTACTCATGACTTAGAGCTGGGGGCAGTGGTATTTGCATTGAAGATTTGGAGACATTATCT